GGGGCTGGATGTGAAGGGCAGGCCTGGCTCCTAATGGTGAAAAATGCACCTGGCATTTATCTGAGGCCACCAGGCTGGGCCCTGGGGGAGACCATGTGAGCTGAGGTTTGGAAACAAAATAGCCTGGAGCTGGAGCCGTCTGCAGCACACTTAGAGCAGAGAGACCTTCCAGGAGGATCCACAGAGGAGTCAGGTGGGCAGGCGGAAGACCCACATGGAGAGAACAGCCCTTAAGGATGGCATTTAATCACCTGCAGATACACGGTCCTCTCTGCTCTGCCAGGAATCCCCTGGTGTTTTTGGAGGAGACAGGCTGTCCAGCAGAAGCTTGTGTATGCCCTGGAGTGAGGGTGTGCACTAACACCTTCCTTAAGGAGCTCTGAGAAGGGCTGGGCTTCTCAGCCTGGGGAAGAGGGTAGGATGGGTCATGTGATCAGAACGTCACCATCAGAAGCTAGAGGGGTGCCACTGTAGTCTCCCAGGTGCTGTTACTCAAGTCAAAGCCAGAGGAAAGTGCTCAAACTTGTTAGTGACAAAGAGAGAGTCCCAAGGCTGACAGCTGTGGGCACAGACATGGAGCTCCTATCCTTTGGACTGGCTCCACAATGCCCCAATAAAGACCCCAGCACATCTGTCTCATCCACAGCCACTTCAAGTGTACATCAATGTTTTTGGTCTCTCAGACACCACTGTCAGAAAGTAAGGCTGAAACTTTCTTTTTTAAGCCCTAGCCAGAGAAAGTGAGAAAGCAGCTATTCTCAGACCCACACATTCCTTAGAGAAACTGAGCCCCGGCCCCCTCAGCACTTCCAGGGCTGTGGGGTAAGATGACTGGGCGACTAGATACTTTAAATATAAGTCCCCAGCAATGGGAGTGTCGTCCCCTTCAAAATTCAGAGAAAGACACTTATTCTACTGGGAGTTGTCCAAGCTCAGAACGCCTTTGGGAAGTGCTGAAGACCACAGGCAGGGCCCATGCCACTCCTTCCCTTCCATTAGCTTGGTGACCACTGACTGCCAGCCATTCTGGGCATCGTGCATGCTGGATGGGGAGACTGTCCAGGTGTGTGCTGGGGAAAGTGAGGGCGATTCAAAGGACAGTGCTGAAACCAACCAGGCAGGAGCATGCTGCGTGTAAGGGCCCAGAGACAGGTGGGTGTCAGGGTCAGACTGTCAAAGGCCTAGAACACCAAGGCTGAAGAGTTTGGACTTAACTTTTAAGCACAAAAGAGCCACTGAAAATTTCTGTACAGAAGAGGGCCAGAACCAGAACTGTGGCTTTAAGGAAACAGGATGGCTTGGAAGGGGGCACGGACACTCAGCCACATGTGAGGGTAATATGAATGTAGGGAAAGCTGCCCCTGGAGGGAACTGACCTGATGCCACCCGAACATCAGAGTATGGGGATTTTCCCACAAGCCAAAAAAGAAAGTTTCTGAGCAGCCATGCATCCAGCAGGAATGTGGACTGTGTGCTTCTCTGAGGGAAGCAGGATCCCAGGCAGCTCCTGAGACAGCCTCAGAAGGA